CTGATTCCAAGCCTATTCACGTGACTAAGCATCATTCAAAGACTCTACCAAGCAACCCCAGCCATGTAATTTTTAATCGTATATACAAGGGCATGGGCGCTACGTTCGTTGCTCCTCCGAAGGTGGTGCTTGCAGTCATGGATGCAGCGGTTAAGGTGGTCCAAAAAATGTCCAAAAATTAAAGAATGAGACTCGGACAGACCTAGCCAAGCTCGCTGTGCATCATTATTCTGGTCTGACGGATGACTTGGAGGTCTCCTTACCTGCCTCAAAGGTGCTACAGAAACCCAATTTAAAGGGGACTCTAAAGCTGTGTGCTCATCGGCTAGACTGACTGCTCGTGGCTCTCGGGGCTCTTCAGTTTCTCCTTCAGATGGAGTGGTTTTCAAGACAGGTCCTATAACTTCAAAGACCCAGTCCTCTTCTAGTCGCAGCGGCAACACCTGTTCGTTCAGCTCTTTTTGTTCACATGAAGAAGGTGGCTTTGAGGGACCTGGTGAACCTTCATCTTGCCAATGAAGATTATCAGTTCGAACGTGCATGGTCTCTGTGCTTATCGACGCAAGAAGGATGTCAATTTCTTGATGTCTAAATTTACACCTTTTGCTTTTATTATGTAAGAAACTAACGGTGCTTCACCCTCTATTTTGGATGTCAAGACTCTCCGGGGTAATGGTTCTATCCGTTTTGCGGGTGTGGATGCCATTGGATTTTCTGGAAGTCATTGGGTTCTTTGGGACCCAACATATTTGCTCTACTTGGATGTTTTTAAATCTGATGGGTTCTTGACAATTACTTTTGAAGGTCTTATCAGGTCTTTCCGTTGGGTGCTTATTAATGTGTATAGGCCTAATGTAGCTACCCTTAAAGGTGTTTTTTTGGATGATTTGAAATATTTTATTTCCTCATTGGGTCTTCTAGTTTGCATTGGATGGGATTTTAACCTCATTCTCCACTCAGATGAAATTTCCACTTTTTCCCGATATAATTCCCATATGCATCTATTTAATGACTTCATTATGGGGAATGATTTATTAGATCTTCCTACTACTAGTTCTTACCAAACTTTCATCTGATCACCTCCCTATCTGTCTTCATACTAAGCAGGTCTTATCTGAGCCTAGACCTTTTCGTTTTGACATTCACTTGCTAGATGAGCCTGAACTTGTGGATATGATCAATCATACTCGGGGTAGTTGTTATGTTTTGGGCAGCTTTGGCTTCCGTTGTCATAAGAAGCTAATCTGCCTAAAGCACAAACTCATCTCTTGGAAAAAAGCAAACCAGTATCAATTTAAAGGCAAGATTGATTCCACTTTGATGGACTTAGAGATGATTGAAAATTCTGTTCAGGAAAACCAAGTTTTATCTGATGAGATGATTGTTAATAAAAATTCTCTGTCTAATAAGCTACGTGATCTCTTTAGGATGGAGGAAATTTATTGGAAACAGAGATCAAGAGTTAAATAGTTTAAGAGGTAAATTCCCATAAGACTTCAATTGTGCGCATCTCTTGCTCTAACTGCCTTTTGGATTCTGTTGCTTCAATTTTGGGTGGCAGAGTTCAGAAGTTTCCCCTTAAATATTAAGTGGTTTCTATCTCGGATCGTACGCACACTCGTGCAGCCTGGGACCCTTTTATTCATAGTTATCATGTTCAATTGACCTATGGAAGACCAAGACTTTATCTTTTGGTGGGCATATCACTTTGATTAAATCCACTTATGCACATCTTTCTATTTACTTGATGTCAATCCTACAAATACCTAGTGAAGTAATCCAGCTTATTGAAACATTTATGCCAAACTTCATTTGGGGTAATATGGAGGATAACTGCAGCAATTTTCATCTGGTGAACTGAGACTAGGTGTGTATGCTGTCAATGCTAGGGGGTTTGGGTATCAAAAAGCTTAAACTTGTAAACTAGGTGCTTCTTTCCAAATGGTGGTGGAGAATCTTTCAAGACTCCTCTCATCTCTGGAAGGATGTGCTAATTGCTAAATATGATTTCGATCATCTCACCCACTCGATTAAAAAAAGGTTGAGGAGGCAAATTCACCTCACAGATTTGGAATGATATTTATAGCTGCAGAAATATTGTTTTGAGCAACATCAAATGGCTTATTGGCAATGAAGATAACACTCTTTTTTGGTTCAACAAATGGCTTGGTGATGCACATTTTTCTTCTACTTATCCTGACCTCTTTGCCAGAGTTGCTCAACCTGATGCAAAACTTTCAGAGTGGATTTCCCTCTCCCCCTCTAATTGTATGGTCTAGAACATCGGATGTTGTTAAAATAGACTACCGGACATGGTTATTTCACAGCTTCATAATCTCCCCCAACTACTTGAACAAGTTTACATCACTTCTAATGCTGAAGACTTGGTCATATGAGAATCAGAAACTAAAGGACGTTTTTCGGTCAAATCAGTGTATAGGCTCCTTTTTATGGATCGGGTCCGTATTGTTGATACCTCTTAAGGTTTTATTTGGAAATGGCTAGTTCAAGTTAAAATCCAAGAACTCCTATGTGTTGCATGTCAAAGAAAATGTCTAACAATAGACAATTTGCAAAAGACAGGTAAAATTCTTCCAAACATCTGCTTGATGTGCAAAAATGATAAATAATCTTACTCTCATCTTTTCCTTCACTGTTCTATTGCCTCTAGCTTATGGCACTGGGCCTTCTCTCTATTGGGTTTTTTCCTCATGATACCTTTGAATCTCATCAACATTATTAACCATCTTTCTGACAAGGGATTACCAAAAAAAGATGTTGTGATTTGGAAAATTTTCAGAAACGTAATTTTACGGCAGATTTGGTTAGGAGAACCTTTGATGGGGTGTCTCAAAGTATTGAAAGGGTAAAATATCTCATTTTACATTCTCTTTGGAATTGGTTTTCCTCCACACCTGAAGGATAGGGCCAATTCGGACTGATATTTATATCAATATGAAATTTCTGGCTCATTCTTCTTCTCACTCTAGTCGTCCCTTTAGAACTTGGATTGCACCTCTAGAAGCTTGCCTCAAACTTAATTTTGATGGCAGCTCATTTGGAAATCCAGGGCCTGCAGGTATTGGTGGGCATCTTCGCAACAATTTCGGATCGGTTCTTTTTGCGTATTCGGGTCCTTGCAGGTCTACAATAGCTAATCATGCTGAGTTGGTTGCTCTCCTTCAAGGCCTTCATATTATCACCGACAGGGGTTTCATTGGGAATATTATAATTGAAGAGGATTCCTTGAATGTTATCAAGTGGTGTAAAAAAGAGCAAAGTATCCCCTGGTCCCTATTTACTCTTTTGTTTAAAATTCAAGACCTATGTGCCTAGCCTCATTTGAGGATAAGCTTTGGCCACACCATGCGCGAAGCCAATGATGCAGCTGATAGGCTCGCTAAACATATTGTTTCTCTTCCCTTTTTGTAAGTTTCTAACGATTTCATCCAATCTTTATAATCGCATGCTCTTGTGAAGCATTGCTTTAATAAAAGTTCAAAACATTTGTCACAAGAAAAAAGAGTATAACTCAATAGCTGATGATTACGCTAGGATGGGTGCTAATGCTCTAACAATAACTATTTTGTAAGGATTTTATTTTCCTTTTTCTAGTCTTTCGGAAATGCATGTAGTAGTTGATTTATGTTTTTTCAATATAAGTGGCTTGTCGGCTATTGTTCTTTGGTTATAAACTGTGATTTTTCTATCACCAAAAAAAAAATTATAGGAAGTAGTAAAGATTTTATAAAATTTGGATAAATAATAAGAGTGGTGAGAAATTCAATTGTCACACTTCAATTTCCTTATACATATTTTATAAGGAAAAATTATCTATCATAAATATAATAGGGAATTACATTGAGGTCTAAGTTTGCAAATTTTAAGCAAAGGTATCTCTCATCTGTTTTTCATATATATATATATATATATATCATTCTTTTTAGTTTTTTTCCTCTATCCAATAATCATAACATCGGACCACTTTTTTATTTTATCTATTAGTTTTGTGAAGTGTAGGTACCTGTTTGATGTTTAGATCCTCGGACCGCTAGGTTTTTGTGAGGATTGTATGAGTCAAGAAGTCAGAGGTAAGAAACGTCAGACCAATCCCTAGACTGTGAATTTTAGTCCAAGGTTTGGTTAGTGATTCCAAGACTCAGACAGCTTGGCTTGTATAAACATTTTGCCAGCCTAGCATCCAAGGCTCTAGACCATCAATGGGATAAGAAAATAAATAAGATCTAGTAGGTTCAATTTTTAGGAGGTTTGTAAAAATTAATTAATAATTAATTTCTTTCCACATACCACCATTCTCTTTCTATCCTAATAAATTAACTTTTTTAAAATTTCTCTACCTCTCCCCACATTTCAAAACTTCCCTACCGTAACTTCCATTTTCTTGTTACACATATTATACTTTAGTTTTTATCCTTATTCTTGCTCCACGTGTCTCTATTTTCTCTTTTCTAATACATCTCCACCGATTTTTTTCTCTCTCTTTATTCTCATGTACCTACTCTCAGTCTCTTCATAAATCAACTTTCTTAAAATCTCTCTTATTTTTTCTCTTCTAATAAATCTACCTCTCTCTCTCCCTCTTTTTTAAAAGTTTATATTATAACATTTCTAAAATCACTCTACCTCTCTCCCCCTCTTATTGTTTTTTTCTCTGGTTAACTCTAAATGTTTCTAAACATTTAATATTTTCCTCTATTTTCTCTCTCCTCCCCCATAATCTCAAATTTAATTCTCT